CCCTTTGTTTATAATTAACTGAGTTTAAAAGAGATATTGCTCCCCTTTTGTAGGAATAAATATTGCATTCAAAGTACCGACCGGCCTGAAATAGCATTCTGATAAATTGATGATTATTTTTATGTAAAATATACTCAGTGTAAATATTTTGAAGTATTTTCAGTTCGACCATACATTCCGGAACGGTCAAAAAGCCATTTAGCTTCCAATCAACAACAGAGTTCAACCTACTTCATGTGTATCTACATAGAATAAATCACTTACCAACAAATGACTTACCAACATTTGACCTGGATCAAAAGCAAATTGGGTGAACACATATTTACAAAGGAAAGGTGATGTTTATGTTGAAAGCAAAAACATGATATGAGACTTTGAACAGAGAAATGTAAGATTTTATGCCGGATAGAAAGTCTGAAGACAACTTTAAACGAGCTCGTGTTCTGAAAGAATTGTCCAAGTATATCGATAGCTTGTACCATCGAAACTAGCAAGATTTCACATCGTTTCTTTGATAATAATTGAGCTTCCGATTCATATCACGGTGAGTAAGAACAAATGCGATCATATTATTTAGAAGCATACGTCGAATGTCTAACAAAACCAAAGACACAAACGAAACTAAATTAAAGAGACCCACCTTTCGGACCGGACTCTCTTTATCACTGTCGGTGATTACTTTCGAAGCAGTGGTGTTGATTCTAGTCAAAGCTAAAGCGTACTCTAGTTCCACTTTAGCTCTCCTATTTAGGTATTCTTTGACGTGCTCCAGATGTTTTAGTTCGCTCTCGATGTGATTCACAATGGCTTCGTGGCCACCTTTGAACGGCAAATCTACCGAAAATCGAAGATGCTGCCCCTCAACAGTCATGCCTTAAATTATGGCCCGAAACGCCCGAAAGATCTGTGGTATTTTGGATGAAAACAATCAGCGCATCCTGTTGTATAATTTCGACTGCAGTTTTTAAAGAGGAGGCTTCCGCCTTATCCAAGACTGCAAAGAGTCACGGGATGTTCAGCAGCCGCGCCTTTGCTTCGATTTCCATACATCTACAATCGTCTGTAAAATCGTAAGATATCACACCAACTCTTTAAAACAAATAAATAGTAATGACCATAATAAAATGATGATAATAGTAATGTAAAAAATCTGAAAGCTTCAAAATCATGCAATAGTTTAAAATCTAAATAAAAATTAGAACAGTAAATTACTCATAGTATTCACTAAATTAGATTCAAAACTATCCGACGGACGTTGTACTTATTACATCTTCGAGGAGGGAGCTCCATTCATTGATTGTTTGTGAGGAGAGAGAAATTAAAATTAATAAGAACACCTGTGTAGCTACAGGGACTACAAACTTAAAAGGGTGCTTCCCACGGGTTCTTCTTTCACTGTTTGGTTTTATAGATGGGCTGGCATGGTACTTGAAAATCTTCCCATATGAGATTGTGGGAGAGTTAAAACGTGAAAGATAGTCTGGTGGTTTTCCTTCTAGTGGCTAGATCGATTCTTTGTCTGAATCTATTTACGATTTCCGCTAGATTTTTCACAACAATCTGTTCCCGTTTGCTTATACTTACATCTAAGTCGTCCGTGTTCGCTGAACTTAAATTGCCAACAATAGCTAGAATATGTATTGCGTGACACCCAGAGGCTTTAAATGTCAATCGTTTGATATAGCTACGAACGAGGAGTGTTCAATGCTCGTGAGTTTTAAGTGCTTTAGAGGGAAATTTCCCTTTTTGTTCAAAGCTACCAGCACCAAGAAGGTCACTTAAAACGTTTCCTCGAATAGCAAGGTATAGAATTTTCAAAACACTTTTTTTGCGGAAAAGTAATATGACGTCACTTTCCGAAACGATTAGAATTCATGTTCTCGGAAAATCCGACAGAGAAGTGCAAGTGTGGGGCCGTAGGGCATTTTTTCAGACCGGCTTAGGTCAACTCGTCCGCCCGAAATACGTCAGCTCTTTTTACAGTTATCCAAAGAATATATCATTCAGCTTTCAAACTTTCAACTTTGTATACATAGGCGTGAGTCTGTATCCTGACTTTCATTTTCTAGAACAATGTGAATATGAAATTTTGCTTGGCTACGACATTGCACGTAACAGGTAATGTTATTTGGATGACATAAATGCCCAGGCTTAAGCTTTTAATCGTGGTGATTCTTTTTAAATACTGATATCCAGTCCATAAAAGGAACTTTGATTTGAGCAATTTTTCCTAAGATGTGAGTTTAACAAGGTATTGGGCACCCTCCTCTTTTAATCAGTGTTTTCTTTTAGACCTGCTTCCTCCCCGTTGATCTTAATGGGTACATAGGTTTAAGTAGTTTTTTACATTTTGGCGCGTGAAGTTTAAATTCAAAATTAGGGGCGTTCACATGATGCACAAGAGGAGAACATGTTCGCCTTAACTTAAATAAAAAAGGTAAGCCCCTCTTATTCCTAAAAACGAAAATGCAATGTGGGCGTCTATATTAGGACACATTAACGGTACAAGCTCGCGATTGTTTGTCCAACCAGCCATTTTCTATTTAGAGTTAGAGTTAGGAAGGGGCAAACCCCTCCCCTCTCCTTCATTTTGACGGTCACTCACCCCTTCGGTTTCAAGATATTTCTCTCCCGAGCCTCTCGCCACCGTAAAAACAAAGATGGCGACTATAATTTTTCGCAAAAGAATACGGTGCAATCGCTTGCCAAAATTGCACCTCAGATTGCTGGATACTCTACGTAATAATTGGTATCTGATGAGATTTTAGTCCTGTAAATCAAATTGGTACGTCACAATCACCCGTATGAGAGGTATTGGTCAAATTTTAAGAACGGTGCAAAGAAGTGAAATGTTAAGATTATGCCAAAGTTATTGCAATAAAAGTGTCGATCACCCTGTTTATCAGTCATTCACAATGGTCAGTAACAGCCAATTGTACAAAAATGTTTTATTTAAGGTTACTTGAGGACCTTCAAGGACGTCTTTCGGAAAATCGCTCAGACTACGTGCGTCGCTTATAATAAAACCTGGCAAAGTTTATATCAGCGCAAAGATGATAAACTTTGAAAAAAAAATGTATTAAACCAATTAGAGAATGGGCTAACGTAATCAAGCACAAAGGTCACAATATAAATGAAAGTGGTTCTGCCAGATATTTCGAGAAACAAAGGAGTGGCCATGGGAAGTCGAGTATAACCCTGCGTTTACGTGGCGGAAAATCGTCGAACTTCCGCCAAAATCGTTTTGATTCGGGCGTAAAAACAACCTTTCACTTTAGAGTTCCTTCTAACAACACCGACTATCCCAGAAACCTTTGCACATAACACAAGGATCCGATTCCGCCACTCTGAAGGCATGCGAGTCATGCGAGCCATTGCAAAACACATTTCTTTTACGGAAATTTTTCAGATTTAAATATATGAAAAATATTTTATATAGTTTAGTATTGTTTTGCTGCTAGAAAATGCTTGCATAACAAACGTCACGTAAAGGAACGTTCGATTTCGGCCGCCAATATATTTTGGAAACGCAAGAGCCTGGATCGAACGAACAAATTTTGACTTTCTCTCTCCTTCTGAGATGAATTTTCTCTCCCACAATCACTCGAAGCGTTCTTGGCTGGTTTTTGTGGAATCTACCCTTTACAATTTTTGTTGAGGGAATCGAGTATCGTTGCCGCTTGTTCTTCTTCGGGCTTACAGGATTTTGCCGCATTGTGCGGTATTGTTGATGCATAAATGTTCATAATAGAGCCTTTTTTCCATAATTTAGTGGTTCATTTTAGAAAGCTATCAGTACATTTGTGATCAGAGAAATTTGTAGAGCATAATAAAAATCGCTGGCACCCACGCGATGATTAAGTAAATATGATAAAATCAGGAGCCCATGATTGAAGTTATGGGCTCCTGATAAAATGCAGTTTATATTCTCTTGTAAAATAGCAATGTTCTTTTAGTTACAAAGAAATCCCTCAAGTTTTTTTTAATGGTAATATTAAGGACGTGTTGTCGCGTAGTGATACGATTGTTCAGTACAGTTGGCTTCATTGAATTAAAGTTAATTGTTTTAAAAGTTTGTCTTTTTATGCCTCTCACGCTTCGATTTGCCTTAAAGAAATAGATAAGTCAATGCTGTCTTTCTTGAAATTTTTAATTCTGTTCTGCCGTCTCCTTCGCATTACAACGTAGCTGCCATGAGAAAGCTAGAAAGAAAAATAATCGTCCCAATCCTCTCTTGGCCACATCAGTTTCTTTTGGCTTGTCTGGATCAACTATATCACAGGAAATGGTATAGACAAAACTGTCTATGGCCAGGACTGCGCAACATGCCACGCCGCCTCGCACACATTAATTACAAAAATACAAACTCATCATCGTCGCCCCAAAAAGCTTCCTCTTTCCCACTTCCTTCTTGTTCTCTTTGATTATATTTGACTGGCTCCTTAATTTCCCCTCCCTATTTTATCAGCCCCTCATCCTGAGAGTGTAGGCTCGATTTCCGAAGCCTCATGGAGTCACTTTGATTCATTTCCGAACAGCGGTGGTTGTGGAGCCTTCTGAGAGATTTCTATTGGATCCCCTCCTCCCTACTATTTAACAAGAGAAAATAATGGCCCCATTATTTCCTCTTTATTTTAACTTTAAGGGATTTTGCGACCAGAAAAATTCATGCTGTTATTCTCGTTAGAGCTGGGTGACTGTTCTAAAAGAACCAGTCAATTTTATGAGCATTTCGGCTGTTGATAAGTTTTTAGTCAGCCCTCCTAACTAGCGTTATAAGCCTCCCGGTTAGAAGCACTGTAAGTTTTTAAAACCCCTTGGGATTATAAAAGGATGAACCACAGTCGATCCGCTTTTTATTGATTTCGATGTGATAATACCAGCCTGTTATGACGATTTTTCAAACTTGATCTACTGACACCAGGACCCCAGTAATGGGCTCCTCCTGACGCCTACTGAATACTTACTTCACTCACGTAGACTTGTGTCATAAACTATCCTTGAGTGTTTCACATACTGTATTTTATAAGATTACAATATATACTAATTAAAAATAAATTTTCAAACACTGCTTACACTGTAACCCTAGGATTCAAAATACGTGTTTGTTATTGGCGGAAAATTTATATACATCACCGCAGCAATTAGCTAATTAATTTTAAGGAATGACAGATCATGCGAGACTTTTTGACCTGCTGACAATAAGGAAAATCTGTTCACTGTAAAAATAATCACAATTTATGGAATGTTTTTAATTTCCTCCTCACTTAAATATTTACTTTCTATGACATTTATGAAAACATTGCTAAAATTGTCGGTCATGTTTTCATAACAGATCGTACGTAAGGGTAAACTGGCAATTAGCGATTATATCAGACTCGCAGTTCATACATATTTTGCGACTCGTCTTAGCAAGTATCTATATTCGACAGTCCAATATGATAACATAACATGACCATCGCCGTTATGCTATTTAATGATTCAGCAAAATTGAAGGCTTTAGGGAAGTGAAATTGACTTCAGACATTTGATCTCGTTATTTTGTTTAAGTGTAAGTTAATTATATTCGAGTGTTTGATGCAATATATGCCTCACGTGTATTCGGTAAATATTTATAAGGGACTTCGCAACGGCCTCAGCTTTATGATCGATATTGCTCTTACATACTGAACATAGGAGCCACTTCAACGGATATCATTGACGGTCAGAACTTTTATAATGCATTAATAAATTGTGCTGGTGTTCATGATCCTGTCATAGTTGAGTAGATATATAACCGTTGCACTATGATACCTTCTATGAGTTCAAATATGGCGATTTTTTTAGCCCTTCCCCGTGTTCACACGAATTACAAGAACATAGCTTGCCATGAAGGGCTTGATCGTCCTTATCAGTCCGCAAATATCGACAACCTCGGAGTTCTTCGTAAGAAATCGGCGGATTCTTTGGATCCGAAAGTGATCGGTCCTTTAATAGAAATTCCATTGGATCTTTTCCGACCAGATGACTGACAGATCTTGTTTTCTGTGGATTTATGTTCCAAGATTGCAAAACCTCGTTGATTGTTACTTTTGGTAGCACCATATCGTCCATCCCATCCTCCAAACAATGTCCTCCTGGTTTGTCGATTTTCTTACGCGCGGTTGATACATTCGGGGGTGAAAATTTCCCAGGACTTTTTGATCTGTCCTTAGCTCCACTTGAAACCTTTGTACCAAGATATTTAGGTTTTCTCGGACTATGATCCATGCCTGTTCTTATAGCCCTAGTAGAAGACTCTTCATTTACTTTTTCAAATGAAAAGCGCGGTGAAATTCGTCTTGCGTGCCCCTCACGGCTGGGTATTACTGATATGCGCAAAGGTGCTCGTGGAGAATGATCGACACGAGGTAACAAATAAGGCTCGAGTTTCACCTCTGATGGTTTAATAGTTTTTTTCTTACTCCCTTCTTTGCCGTTGACTGAAGGCGTTAGCAACGTCTCCCTCAATGCCAACTTGGATGAAGTTAAATGGTAAACTGCCCCATTTGATTTATCAGATTGCTGCTTAATACCGCTTGATCTTGTGTCGCGTGCGGTTTTCACACCTGAAAAGGACTGCGGTCCATTTTGGGTCGTTCCTCCCGAAGACACGGTCTTGTTTCCTTTTTTTATATTTGTTTTTTTCCCAAACATGATCCCAGAAACCTTTGAATCGTGTTCGGCTGCATGCGCCCTATTTTGTCGTTCTTGACTGTTTCTTGTTGTGGTGACGTGCTCGTTGTGATCATTGTAATCTGGATTCGCCTTATTTGACACGAACTGATCCGTGAAAAAATTACCCAGATCAATTTGCCGGGTTTTTGATTTCACGCGAGTCGCATCTGCTGTTTTGGCGAAGTTTGCGGATCTCAGGAAGCCTGCCTTTTCTACCATCGGAAAAAATATCATCCTTACGTTGGTTTCCAGCGGCGATGTTAAAGAAATGGATGGCGTTGTTATTTCACTCTCGCCGCTGATACTCATCTTTTTAACGAATGAGTTTTGAAGGAAAACAAACAAAGTCCGTGGTCGATAGCAATCTCTCAAAGGACAAGACGGTAAAGATCACCCAAAAAGTCTACCACCGATCTATTCGATCTTACTGTTGCTCACAGTGAGAGCGCGACTTCTTTTGAAGCCTTTTCATAAGTTCATGCTATTTTTAATTTTTCAGCGGAAATGATCTCAATTGAGAAAAATTCGTGTCAGTACTTTTTCGACGGTTTCCGCTCCCTTTAAGCTTTTAAGGACTGAACGAATCGTTGCAAGCCCACATAGTACCAGTCAGCAACAAAAACAAATTTTAAAAGGTCATCAGGTGTCTCCCAAATATTGACACAGCATTTAAGAAATGCTATGTCAATATTTTGTTTTAAAATGCAAAAAAAAAAAAAAAAAATTAAAGATGTAATATTTTTTTCTCAACTTATAAAGTTATAAACAAACCACTCGAGAGCAGAAAGCTGATGAAAATCAAACCAATACCAATGCAAATAGATCTGAAGTCCGATCCATGACCGTGGAAACATTACGTAACCTATTTATCTCTAGCTAGAATCTTAGTTTCTGATTCAAACCACTACCCTCCAAATTGATATGTTCTCTCTCTCTCATCTCCTCAAATAAGCTATTAATGTTAGTTTCTTCAGCTGCTTCTTACAACTTCTTCGATTCGAGATCGTTAGACTTTCTGAACTGTCCACTCGTGTAAAACTGCCGCTCTGTTCTCTCTGGTTTTCTAATGTGGACAAGATCGAATAACAACAAAATCGTCATCAGGGTCGGATAAATAACTAAGGCTTTCAAATAATATAAAAACAAATCTTAAAGTAATAAACTAGCAAAAATCATTTTCTCGTAGACCTCTAGCGTAAGTGAGTTGCCTATTCCTGGGATTATGATCATGCTTACTATTATTATTATTATTATTATTGAATCTTTATTAAGTCATAAGATAAATAATCACATATCCTATGTTACAACATTAAAAGAAGGTATATATATAAATTACAGAGAAAATCAAGATAAAAATTATAAGACTAGATTATGTTTAAAAATTAAGCGATTAACAAACGTGTTTTTGAACCTATCAGTGTTTATTTTAGGATGGTGACTTGTCTCTTTCCTCAGATTGTACTTGGTTAATTTCTTTTTTGGCATTATAGCTCTTAAAGGGTGTATTGTATTATTATAATTATATTATATTATTATTATTATACCGGCTGCTGGATCAGTTAGCATATAGCAGTTGAAGATTAACATGCCTAACATGGGCGGGCTAAAACATTGATTAATCATTAAAAAGGGCTTATTTATAACACATGTATTCTGCCGGCCCTAAGGTAAACAAAAGGAAACCACGATTTTAAGCGATGTTTATTTAGGAGTAACTCATTTCTACTTAACATACATACACTGCACAGGAATGTAAATAATAACTTTTGGTACATGATTAACGTCAAAGCCGACGAGATACATCGATTGTTATTCACATCCTTTACCCAAAATCCGACGATAAGTCTGCCTTCCGTCAACATCCTTTACTTATCGATCTTATCCATTTTTTTCTAGCTTGCAGCGCAGGCGTCTTGTTGGAGCGCGTTAGCGTTACAAGCCCGCGATCGTTTGTTCCACCGGAAATATTTGATTTAGAATGAACGGTGCGGGGAAGGGGATGAGGAAAGGCGGGAAGATAGCAGGTGTAATTTGTCCAACCCCACCCTCTCTCTGCACTCCTTCATTTTGACCGTCCATCGCTCACCCCTTTGGTATAAATGTCTTCTCGCCCCAGCCTTCCGCTGCTGTAAAAATGAAAAACAACTTTCACCAAAGACTACTGAGCACTCCCTCGCAAAAATTACGCCTGCTCTTGGACAATTTCCTTACCCTCACGCCTTAAATTGGATTACTTTCCTCCCAACAGTTCTGGCACTCCTGTCTCAATCGTTTTCTTTAAAACTGGGCATGAGCGTGCGCAGTCAACCGTAGTAGAGCGGTAGGCAATACACTTCGCTGCTATATCTGCGTACCAGCAATTAACCCTTTACACCCTAAAATCAGTATTTATATTCTCCATACTGTTCTCTGTACATTTACTAAGGTGCTGACAAGGAGAATTTGTATAACAATCCGAAGAGTTTCTTAAGTTGGTGATCAGTTCCTTTAATCTCTTGACCTGAATGAGGGATTCAATGGTGATATTGTAAGGAGAAATTAGATGCTAATCACTCTCAGGGATTAAAGGGTTAAGGAAAACAGGACCTGAAAGACAACATAGTGCACAAGGCCGCTATCATCAATTTTTTGCTAAAATCTTTTTATTGAAACTCACTGCCGCAACAGCCAAACGTTGATAAAATACTTTTTACGAATAAGATTCAAACGTAATGTTCGTGATTTAACTCTACCAATAAAACTAGTAATAAAAAGTGTTTGCAATGTAACTACACATTTTTTGAAATGAATAAATCCGCAATTAATAAAATTTGGAAGGAAAGTTCAGGCAAGGTTGTAAATATGATTATGTAGAAGATTTTTTAACAGGATGGTACAAATTCAATTAGTTTATCGCTTTTCCTCCAAATCTCATTCAATTGGAAAGTTTTTTCTTCATCAACCTTCCTTCTCTAATGTATCTACAGTTTTTTACCGAGTCCATGTCGGTGGCAGAAGCGTTATGTGTACTGTGTGGGTTCACTAAACTTGAAACCACATTCCAGTGCTTGTGGTCCGTATGCCAGCTTTTCATGACTTCTTCCATCGAGACGTGAGGCAAACTTTCACTGAGTTTATCCAGCTCCTTCTCAGCTTGATCAATAATAAACTGAGACGAGGCCTGCAGGTCACTTCGGCTTTTTGCTCTCGCTGGAAGGCGCGCCTCAGTTTTGGCTGCCGCTAAATAAATTTTACGTTCCAATCTGGGAGACAAAGGACTCGACGCAGCGCCTGTCATGTCTGGGGTGGTGGGCAGTTTGGGACTGCTTGCTCTACGCACGCGAAGTGGAGATGAAAGACAAGCTCTTTTCGCGTCTACGCACTCTTCGTCAGACACCACCTTACGAAGATCAGTCTCTGACTTGCTCAATGATAATTTACCACCTACACTGAGAGATTTTCTGGCGTCCCTTGAATTAGTATCACTGAGTCGACGACTCTCCCGTGGGGAGGTCGGAATGCTGATTCGTTTCGCTTTTTCAACGTCATCATCGTCTGAAGAGATGCTGCGCATATCAGTTTCAGATTTGCTCAGACTTTGGTTTGTACTTAAATCCAATTGGGATAATCTTTTATGCGGCAGTGGTTTGGAAATACCAACTCTGCGCTCGCGTGGAGGGGAAAGATTCAAACGTTGCGTTACATCCGCTGTTGACATGTATGGAAACTGACGGTTTTCTTCACTGTCATTCACAGATTTACGTTGCAAATTTAAGGATGAAGAGTCTCGAGAGGTGCTCACTTGTACACTGTGATTTTCGTCACCTGGAGCAGCCTTCCTATTATTCACCAAAGGTAATCTTCTCCCCGATAGTCCAAGAGACTTGTTCAACTCTTGCGTTTGCAAAACCTCTCTAGGAAAAGCACCAACATTACCAAACAAGTGCTTTTTAAAACCCCGGAGGCCTTCGTCAGATGTTCGAGGAAGTCCGTCAGACGTTAACTGTTGTTCCGAAAATTTTCTTCTGACTGATTTTTCATCGTTAGGTGAACTCTTTTCAATAGTGCTACTACTTCTCTGGTTTTTAGTTTGACCGCCGTATGTTGACGAACGTCCTCTAAACTGGTTTGCCTGCCCTTCATCAGTAGAATCGATCTTGAATGACAAATCAATTCTCTCAGACTTCTTTTTAACATTCACTGTGACCTGTTTTCTGTCACCCAATTTTTGTGAGCGAGAACCGTTCGATAAAACGCCTGAACTCAGTTTTCGATTCTTCAGTTCAGTATTGTTAAGTTCATCAGAGTTTCTATTGTATCCTGAAAAAGCACCGGTTGAAAATCTTCGTCTATGAGAAGAAGGACTTGTCGGCGCGTTCTCGGCATGGCAAGATGTCTTCGAATTCAGGGAAGATTTTATCGTGCTTTTCTCTTCGGAGCCTGGCAACTTATCTCGGACACCAGTTGAATAATCTTGACGTGAGCTTTCTGTCTTTGTTACGGAGTCGTTGTTTTCCTTCTTTGTTGAGGTAATTATTCTGCCTGAATTTTGCGAGGAAATTACAAACCCTTTCGAGCACCTTCTCGGTAACTGCACGTTCTTGATTTTCACACAGTTACCTCCTTTATTATTGCCATCTACAGGAGAATTCTCTGTCCCATAAGAAGTGACTATAGACTTGCTATCCTCGTTGATGTCTCTTGCCTCTGAAGAGCTATCTTTTTCGTTTTTTTCCTGTGTGGTTAAATTTCCTTCTTCTGGTGTTGTGCCTGTTTCGTCCATTTGCACTGTTACAGACGTATTTTCCAACGTTTTTAACATTTGTTCATTGTAGGGTTCATCATCAAAGCAAGTGACCTTAATTGCCGGCATGGACTTCCACATGTTGGTCGCATTTTTCGCCATTCCACTGCAAGCCTTCCTGTCTTCAGCATCACTCATTTGTTTCAAGACGCGGCAAAACTGAGGTGAGTTACTCGGGATACAAGACGCTGGCATCTCTTCTACTCCTTCTTCACTCTGATCTGCGTATGAATCTGTAGCTTGCATAAGGAAAGCCTTCCTTTGTATGTAGGTGTAATTGTTCGTTATTTTACTGATGTCGCCCACGTTTGACGTTACAACTGACGCCGTAGTTTATGTATTCGAAAACACTACATGCTTTAGTTCATTAGGTCGTCCTGTTAACAGGTTAAACAAAGGCAATTGTATAGCATCCAATATAGCCGTAAGCTTTTTCAAACCAACAAATGCAAAGGTAATTAACCGAACGACGAAATAGGTCAAAGAATTTCACAGGTGCACGAAAAACGAGGAACAAATGCTTTCCTTGTTAAGTCTATCGCGACGTGATATTTGCCACGGATCCAAAGGTTTTCTGGTCGATTGCACTTTGCAAGCGATCGGTTCTACTCAAATGGCGATTTGTGAATGGACATAAAGCAAGTCAGAGTCATTATGCAAATATCCTGAATTAAAATCCATGACCGAAAAACCACTATTGAAATGTTTTCCTTATTTACAAATTTACGTCAATCGTGACTGTCGAGGGCCATTGAAAACTGGAAATGTTTTCTGGTAACTTAAGATAAGACCATGAACAATTAAAGAAAGAATCAAACCAATTTTACCTAACCCCGCGGAATCGTGGAAACGTGGCGTATTTACCATAACAAAACAATAAGGATAAAAATAGACGATCTTGTGAATTAGCTCATTGTACTAACTCTTTTATTTGCTTGTCACAGCAAGACACAACGGTAACAACAAGCATTTTTTAGAGGGGATGAAAATATTGGTGTTGTTGGTAGAGTTTCTGGTAAACAAAACGTTCTCCAATTGTAATAAATAGGAAATAACAGTTAAAAGATCTCTACTTTTGTTCTCTATCGGCACATATTGCACGAAAGTGTCCTGCAGAGCGGAGAAATCGGTCGATCTGCCGGCTTGAAGGAAATGTCGAGTCAAGTGGAAAGCTTATAAAAGCTCTATTTAATGTATCTCTGAGGTTGAAGGCAACTACAACAATTCTACTCTTGGTATCACGTAGGCGAATTGGGATGAGGCTCTTCTCAGTCAAAAATGCTTTTAAAAAATATTTTGACGTCAAAACATGCATACTGAACGTCATTTCAGGTGACAACAAGAGACACTACTAAATGAAAAAGTAGAATTTTTAATGTTCTGATGCAATTTTAGCATCATACAGAATCTCCTAAAATAGAAGGTAACCTCGCCAAAGAGAGTTGCGTGGGACGACAAATAGTCCTGGTTTACAAAGTTCAAGATTTTTCCCATACTATTTACACTCTTGGAAGCTCTTGAGTCATGAATAAAAATTTACATGGCCTAATCATCAAACATGCTGATGTGATTTTTGAATATTTATTGGAACTATCCGCGCACGTGGTTAATGCGTTGTAGCCGCATGCCAAAGCATCACCGCCCCTCTTCTCCTTCCATCATACTTAATCTCCACGCACGCATTCGCTTGAGACAGAAGCCCAGTATTTGGGCTCCTGCTTGAGATCAATGTGACCTCTGACTGTTGATTATTTTCTGTTTTTGCTAGACTTACATGAAATTGACCGGAATAACTGAAATACTGACCGCGACTATCAATAAATTGTGATACAGCTGTGTTACATATAGATACAATGACAGACAGATTAATTTTTTTCCCCTTCCCTTAATCAGCACGGACCAATCCAAGTTTTCCGAACAGTTTTCCCGAACATTTTCCCTATGATAACTTGGTTCCAGTCTATCCCTATCGGAGGGACTTGGGTCCAATGGACCGCGTTGGTAATTCAAAATGGCCGCTGTGAAAACAGACATGGCAAGGACAACAAAGGTAATCATGCATGTCTCATTTAAGTGGGTTTCCAATCATCTTTTCTCAGACTGGAGGTGGTTTCTCTCCAACATGTTGTGCATCTAGCAGACGCCCCGTCGTTCATATTTTGCGCCTCTAATCTATAGCAAAACCTCCGCTTGCCAGCAACCAAATAACAACTCCGGTCTGGGGAGTTCGGAAAGAGAAAATTATTACTTCTTTTGAATTCCAATCTCCCGCCAAGCCCGCCAAAAGTGAATCGAGCCGCCTCGTAGATTAAGCAATACATGTAGGTCCTCTTTGTTTCTCGAGGACATCAGGATACAACATGCTGTAGCCTCAGACAACAAATTACGATTCAAGATAATCTGCTTTGCGGTTTTGAAATCAATTAATGAGCGAGCTTCTGACTTATCAATTCAGAAATGGTATCTCTCCCACATATCTTGCTCTTTTTAGTTTCCCCTAGACTGAAAACGATTAGTTATTGATCAATGATTTCCTTCAAAGCTTCCCATCTTAAAAATAGCCACGGAATCAAAGCGCCTTTGCTGTCTTATAAGCAAAAATGTAGAAATCGAAACAGGATGCAGTTAATCGATTTAAACTGATGTGTACAGAATGTATAAGTGATTTAAATGAAAGATACTACGGCTCTGCTCGGGAAAATGGTAAGAAAGATGTTCCCTTTTCAGTCAAATGTTCGAGCGTTCCATGTGGTTCATTTGAGCTTAAATCAAAACGTCAGATTTGTGAGCCAGTGATTCTAAGAATGTTCCTGCGTTCCACTCGATATCTGACAGATGTCCCATGATGTCAAAAGAGCTTAAATTTCTCAAATAACCAATATCGGAATTCTCTGCCTTTTCCCTCGTCTTGTCAAATCTGTGTTAAAGAGAATAACGAAGTTCGACGCTTTGAGGAAACGCGAAATGTTTGCCATCTGTAAACTAGTTTTGTGCCGCTACACGCAGAGTTCAGGCTCCTTGGAGAAGAAACCATTAATTGACACCACGCAAACAAAACCACGCAAACAAAACCACGCAAACGGTCTGAATGAGACTCATGTAGGTATGCTTTGAGCAAAAATGAAATTTAATAGGGCCGGTATCAGCAAACAAGGATACTGTCAGTTGAAAACAAAACTCTCTCTTTTTTTTAGAAAAGGAGTACTTCTTCTAACTATCACAGAGTGTTGAATGATGCGGTAAATAGAAAATGTAGTTTGCGAATCTTTTACATCATACCCGTGCTTTTGTCTAGAAATCAATCTTATTATTAAGACACATTTCTATCTTTTCAGTACAGTTCAGATTAAAATGATTTAAATGGAAATTGCAACAAAAATATCATACTTTTAAACATGCCAACAATGCCCGCTCTCAAAGGAGTAAATAAGAAATTAAGTTTCTTATTTAGGAAGCATAAGTTGGTTGCTTTTAAGCACGAGCCTCTAATAAGCAAAACAGAATTATGGGTTCGACCTCAGACGTAATTTTATCTGTCGCATTATTTCACAAACGCCATCCTAGCCTGTTCCAGATCCCTCGTTGCGCCTCTATCGCGCCATTTACTATTTGACACCGTTTATTAATTCGCTGCATTTTACCAGCAGAACGCCTGGAACAGGCTAGAACTATTCAGCGACACAAGATTGTAGCAGTACGTGGTATGTTTGTCAATCCAATCTTCAATTCTTTAAATGCCCTGTAGCTACCACGATAACACAATAGCTCACTGTAGAACGAATCGGAAGACCATCTGTTTGAAACCGTATCAGAGCACTCTTAATTGTTTTCTCTAGCTTAATGAAACCTTTCTAAAAACTTTTAACTCTCTAACTTTCAACAAAAGGTAAGTTGCCTCTAGTAAAATATTGCAGGTGTATTTGACCAAAATGGCAATCGCCCCCTCAATTTATGACGTCATATTTCTGCGTGGTACCACTCCACTGAAATGAGGAACACCTTATCAATAAACCTCGTTACGAGAAAAAAAAGAAAAACATCTGGCGGAAAATAAATTTTCGGAACATTAGCGTGTGTGTGTTTTTTTTATGTAGATGTCACTACTTCATATAACGAGGCATCTTTTTGTCTTATTTTTAACTCTCATCGGCGACTGATACCTGATTGCTTTTTCATCGTCAATCTTTTCATGATCAATGGAACATAAGGTAGCTTTTTTTCGTTTTTTTCTGTTACTATTGTCTTTTTTCTTTCGCTGAAAGAGGAGGAACTTTATGAGAGTATATTACCGTAGACACAAATTCAAGGTAAGAAAATGGATTGAAAGACTTGAAGGGTATAAAGGAAATTAAGATACTTTACGTAGTTCTCATGGTATCTATGTAGTTGTGATGAACCGAGAAACATCGAAGAAAAATCAAAATACTTAGCAGAGGGAAACTGAGTAGTTTGAGTGAAACTGAAAATTAAAAGTGATCAGAAAAAAGATTTATATGATCAGTAACTGACTGAGATCTTTGGCCAGGGCCAAGAGTTTATCTATAATATTGATTGACTGTCTCAAATAGAGAGATTCTAGGACTTAGTTTCAAACGCAGAGTTCCCAAGCAAAGAAAATCATTCACACAGTAATCATATTTTTTGTAAGTATTTTAACTTTAAAGTCAGTGAAAGACAGTTCCTCGGAGTGGTGAAAGTCTGAATTTTTCGTTATATTTACAGACATTTGTGAGACCTGTTTTTTAAAAGAAAAAAAAGGCATTGAATTTTCTCGGCTGAAACAGCGACTGGCTGAATCAACATTCGTTTCGTTACCAGTGGAACGTTATTTTACTCACTTTGGTTCTTGTGACATTTTCTACTGCCAGATTCATCATCTTTTTCAATTTGATTAATGTTTTCATTTATTTTGTTACTTTGGAGATAAAAAGGCTCCAGTGATTCGAGGATAGTTCAGGAGACAAATTTGTCGTGAGGCAACAGAAATTTACTGACTTCGAGTCTAATGTAAAATCTTTAAACTCTCTGACAGTGAAAGTATGAATATTTTATAACATCATTTTTTTTCTTCTCTAGTGTTTTTATCCTGTTAAGCCATTTTTATATACTTGATTTCACAACATGATCATAACGGGAAACAAAATATCCACAAAAATTAATCAATCGTGGGAATGGGAAAGACGCATGAGATAATTTCAATTGTATTGTTTTACTCATATTATGAGGGACAGTTTAGTTCCTGTGGAAACATGCAGATACTAGGAGTGTATTTAATGATTGGCTGTACTTGGAGCGTTCACAAGATTGAAATTACTTAATTCTTTAGACAAAACATTTTCCCGTAACGCAATTCATTGATTAGCTATTTACCGTTAACTACTAACCACTTCGTTTCGTGAACGATTTATAGAACAAAAACTCAGAAAATTGGATTTGAGATTGGAGGACCGAGAAACTTACAAAGCATTTGAACACGTTTGATTATTGCCAAATCTCGATTTTGCTTGGGATTATGGGATTGTCGACACTATTAGTCCAGGAAGAAACTCCTAAACAGCAAAAAGTCTCGATTTTTTAAGAAACGGAGAGCGAAATAATCAAGCTTGAAAGTTTGCTCGCTCAGTAACACCTCATTTGCGATTTAGTCCACTTACATTTAATTTCATTCCTTTGTAAAAGCGTTTGTTCGCGTCGATAGTCAAACAAAAGTTTAAAAGTGACTGAAAACAATGGAAGGACTTCGAATAAAATAGAGGTGTCGAAACGCCAACTGTTTTGATTTGGAAGAACTCAAAACACTTTTCACCTTAAGCAAATTAAAACTGCCAAAAAATATTATTTCTGGATGCATATTCAGTGGGAGCACTAAGAAAAATTGCTGTGATTCGCTGCTTTGTAAGATTACGTGCAAGAAATAGCGTTCAAAATCGAAAGCTTTTGGCGTCCGCGCAAAGTCAATGTAAATATCAAATGAAAACTGAGCAATTCTCAGGAGATTTTTCATTGTACTTTACGGTTTCCAGAGAAACAAAAGTATACGTGATGACCCGAGCCTAATCGTTAATCAACTTATGTCTACTTGTGCAATTTTACTTGCAGCTTGAAATTGTACAGATATCATCCTTCAGTTAGGGCGACCTACGAGGGGTTATGACATGGAATGGCTCTTCCAGCTGCGCACGTTGCTACGTACCTAACGTGACTGAAGTGTTATTGGAGTGAAAGAACAATTTCAAGAACTTTAGTTTGGCTTTCGCGGCAGAGTTTACTTGGATAACAAATGAAGAAAATGCGAAAGTATTCTGGAGCAACTGGCTTGAAAACTTTGCCAATTGTTCCCTCGACGTTTGTGGCGAGGAGTTCGCCGCATTTTATGGCCGCACTCAGCGGAAAGACACAAGATCATGCACCGAGAAAAATTTCTACTTACAAAAAGAGTCCCGCATCGCCATATGTCTCGAAGAAGAAAAGCTCGGCGATGTTTATTCCATCGCATCTTCCAATGATTCATGTAACAGCAATGGAGGAGGTAGCAGAGGACAGAGACGGTAAATCAACGTCCCCTCAAAGAAAAGTATCTTCAAACGGGTCACCTTGCGCTCGTGGGGTGAAAACCACCGACACGAACGAGAAGCATTCAGTGGTTTCAAAATCCTCAACTGGGAGACAGCGAAAGATATCGAACACCAAGCCAAAAGCGAGCGTTCTGGGAGAAACTCCCCTTGGAAGAGATCTAATTTTTCACCGAAAGATTTCCAATACAGCAGCTCCAACTGTAATGAGAGTGGACGAAGCAGAAGAAAAACAAAGACTGCTAACAAAGTATGCCTTAAATAACGTTACTCTTTATAATGACAACAGAAAGCGGCGAATTAAAAACACCTATTTCAGCAGATATAATGTGAATGGAAACTTGGAGGCTAAAGTCCCGGCAAGAGGTAGGACACAGAGCCTTAATTGTGTTTCAAAAGGTGATCAAGGAAGGGTAAACACAGCAGATAAGTTCTTTACACCGAGAGTGATTCAAGATGAATCTACCAGTAGCATTTTCGGAAGAGTTCGAGCTCAGAGCTTGAATATTGTTCCATGTGGGAGCGAACCTGTGAGAACAAGACCGTCTCATAACAGAAATGAAGGATTGCGAGAAATCGTGGAGTCAAGAGGACAACGGAGCCCTATCGAAGACGCAGCAGTTACAGCTGATAGTGGTCTCCAAGTTGAGCTAGTTACCGACGCAAATCAAAGGCCTGCATCCCAATATCCGCAGAGAAAAGATAGTAATGAGTACAACAGACTCTCGGTAAAGCGTGACTATCTACATACTGCGGCAGCACCTTTGCGGAAAGATTCGCAAGATCGAAATTCTTTCTTAACCTTCCCTGATTTAAGGGCAAAAACTTGGATAGAGGGCTGATACAAAACAAGTCACGTTTTCGAAACAGTGATCTATATGTTGTTCAAGATCGGCAAAGTTTACGCCATGTTTTGTTTCGTAAATGATGTTGCGTAATCAGAAACAAATATTGATGCCGATGAAAAATAGCTTTAAATAGGTTTGACGAGAACAGAGTGAGGTATTCTTTTGTCGCAGTAGCTTGTTATGTCTCAGCGGGAGTCCAAGAAAATGTTGTTGCGTTACAAAATGTAAAAATTCAAAAAGTTAAACAAAGGTAAAAAGAACAAAACTACTTGTGGCTGTAAGCACTTATTAAATTTATAGCACCTGTATCTTCCACTGGTTTATCAGTTGAGCAAGGTGAACTAAGCAAATATTGGGGAACAACAGGAAGCAAAGTACAAAACGTTTTAAAATAGGTTTATTGATTAAGTGGCTCTGGGGCGGGGAGTTATTCCAGCGAACACAATACTTTGGAATGAGATTAAAGTTTACCATGTTGGGTACAAATCTATTGTAAAACTACTGACCTTAAATCCATAAAAAATAAACTATTTGAAAGAGTGGTTGATCTGTATCCTCTATTTATTTTTTACGCAAAAGGGCACTTTTTTGTGGAGAAGATAAGAAAACTCTTTCTAAATTCCCTAACCTACTAACTTAATTGTGTTTTCATGCTGCAGTTCAATTAATTAAGAGATGGGGCGCCACTTTCATGCTTTGTTTATAACCAAAATTGTTCTTATTGGATTAAACATTATACTCAGTCTTAACACAAAGTACTGTAAAGCTGCATGATTAACCTTGTCCTTGCCTCAGTTAGCAGTTTATGATAAAATGCGGCGACTACACGTAGGTAATCGGTGTACACGACCGGACAAAAGGCTGACACAGTGAACGCCTTATTTGCTTAGGTCACACTGACATACCGAAACTGAAACTCGAACCGCTGTGTACCTCTCCATGCTAGAGATATATTTTCGTTTCCCTCATAACGTCATATAAACGAAAAGTTATGTATAAGCCGCGGTCCTTTCAGACAATTAAGGGAATCGCTTCACTGGAGACTTGGGGTCGGCTTGGAAAGACATCAGAACTGGTACTTATTCCCCTATCCTCTTACACGTTCCCAGGGCCATTCGTATGCACGTGACATCTCCGACCGCGTGACCAATAGGAAAAAAGACTCTGGAGAACATGTAATATCAGAGATATAGGATCCTGACATGGCCATATATTCTTCAAGATAGATGTGTTTCAGTGGTCTCAAAGGTCGGAAAAATCTGAGACTTTAGAAGAATTCGAATTGCGTGGTCCCATTCCAACTGACCCTGACCTAGGCGTGAAACATTGTTGAATTGACAGCAGATTTAGTCTTGTCAACTGATTTGAAAATGTAAATTGGTCAATGTTTTGATCGAGAGACGAAGGCTAACTTTGGAAACGTTAGCTTTACAAACTCCTAGGTGGCCAATTTACATTGTCAACGCAGGCCGGATAAAACTAAATTACTTCTATTTTAGATCATTTGGTGTTATGAACATGATTGATAATGCAAATTAGCTAACGCAAAAGGTGAACTGTCTTTACGGTAGCCAATTTACATAATCGACTACATTTATAAAACCAAATGATCTTGTTATACTCAGCTCCTCCATCGACACAGCACCACAGTTTCTACAGGAAACTTACTTTCTTTGTTCACAGGCTAAGAGTAGGTTCATCTATGTGATCAGCATTCTGTAAGATGGTAAATTAAAAACATCACAAGCACGCATATCCATTCTTGTCCCTAGAGCGCTCGATGCGTGGTGCTTGTTAAAAGAAGGCAAAATAAGAAACAAACGATGAAGGCGATGTGGTGACTAATGTTTACCAAGCATAACCTTCGAGTACGATGGATCTATTTTAACACCGAACACTGCGACTAATACCTCATGTTTAGACAAATGTGGGGATGTGCTGCGGGTAAAATCGAAGGCAAGGTCAGTGTGCACAACATTTCCTAAAGCCCTTTTATCTCTGATATAGCAAGTACAAGTTGCATCATGCGCAATATTTACATGTCATTCTTTTTACATACAGTCTTAAAGGACACAACCATTGTGAATCATTATCCAACAGTGAACTGTAATTCAGAATTTCCTTGAAACTCTCATGCAATGTTTCAAGAGCAGACTTAGAGTTGGTTCAAAGATGCAGTAACATTCAATTATGTAAATCGTCATAGCAAGTTATAAGGGTAACAATGTAACAGTGTTGTAGCTCTCAGTCCCTGGTGTCGTGGTGTCGTGCTTAGTATGTTTTTGAAGTATATTACTCTCACTCTTCATATTCTTGGCGAGTATTCGATCAAATCAAAAATATATAAATCACACGCGTATTGATGGCATCCGTTTAGCAATGGTTAAAAATTGAAAAGGATGCGTTAGCTCACGAAAGCAATAGGAAACTTTTACAAGATTCATCTTCTTCCTCGAACTCATCTGTACTAAGTTTTAACGTATGGAAAATTTGAAATCTAATCATGACACCTCAAACTCAGCCTCACAACTCAGTCTCGCACTGGCGTCTTAATAATCGGCACCTTCATAATCAGAGTCTTTATAGAACATTAAACGTCTGAAACCTCAGCGGTTCAGTTGCGATGAGTGGCTCTAGAGTCTCCTGGTAACCACTGTGTGTGCCCCACTATTAAGCTTTTCGGTATCAGTTCATCAGGTAGTTTTTCTTCCTCGTCAGGCAGAGATGGTGTTCGAAGATATTTGCAAAATTTAACTTTGTGAAAACTTTCTTCCAACGTTGTCACATCATAGCTATTCTTAGCCGGTTGTTCAGAGACAACAGGTGTTGAAGTAAATGCAGTTCCAGGAATAGAGATCTTTCTACTACTAGGATCGTCCGGGGCCTCATCGGGACTTGCACCAGATTTCTTGACGAGTTTTTCCTCCTTTTCTGCGGTCTCCTCTGCCGATCTTTTTTGTTCTAACCAGCGCTGCTCTCTTAATAAGGCCATGGCTTCTTCCAAATCCGGTACCTGTTTTTCGCGCACTTTATCCAGAAGAGAGAGTATTCCATCCAACTCCCTCGATGGAGGAGTTTTTAAAATGCTGTTTTTTGCAGATGAAGGTCGAACTAGCTTTCTACGAATTGCACATGGCGAGCTCGGCGCCGATCTGGTTTGTCCGTCATTTGCCTGCATGGTTGGAACAATCAAACCAGAAGATGGTGTGCCAGTCAAGATTGTCGCTGAATATCTTCGTTGGGGGCCAATTACTGGAAGTGTAAGTCCGCCTTGCTTTGTGTTACCCACTGGATCTGGTGACTTCCTGCCGATTACGTCTCCCAATAGAGAAGGTAATTTAGCACTCATCGACAAAGATCGCTCTCTGGAAGTTGCGCTCGATACTCTTTGAGAATCGGTTATCAATTCACCAGTTGATACATCAACAACTGTTACCATGCACGCTGGAGCTGAAATCTTTCTTTCATCGCCGGATCCCCAATGCAACATTCGTTGTTTTTCGTTTTGCAGCTCTCTCTGCCGTTTTTCGTACTTCTGTTTATAAAACTCCAAATTTTGCAGACTTTTTTTACTGTCAGTGCTGATGGCGTTTACACTCGCCTTCATTTTGTTCTCAGCAAGGGAGTTTCGCGCAAGCGCTTCTTTCATGGTGATGGAGAGTTTGTTTTCCTTGAGTTTGTTCATTTTCGCGCAGCTTGCTTCAACTTCTCTGTGACTTGTGTAGAATGATCAGTGAATATAAGGACCTTCCAAGACTTGAAATTGATCAACACATATCACGGAGCTTTAGTAATATTCTGGTGTGTATTCTAAGATAACAATGACATTTAATTTAGCATAGAGAACTTAAATAAAGGGCTTTACGTCCAAAAGCTTAAGAATAGTGTATTAATACAGCATTGGGGAACTTATTGTTTTTTGATTTCCCAAAGGAACATGGCATTGTTCTCGTTTAGGCGCTGGAGCCAAACATGATTTTCGTTTCATCTTAACTAATAAAAGCAATGATTGAGTTCTAAGACTATTATTGATCGCTGTCTTGCGTCTTACGTCAAGTCAGCAGACTATATTTCCTTAGTTAAGGGAAAACTATCAAAGACCTGACCTGCGCTGTTGTCCATATAAATTCCTGGTTTCTATGACAATTAGCCAGCTTCTTAAAACAAAGAAGAACGAGGTGTTGTTACAAAAATAACGCTCATTAACTGAATACGACACATAGAACTGTAGCGCGAAACAATGCATCCCAGAGAGGGTTTGGTAATTTTCTGGACGTTGAGCCATAGTGCAAAAGTCCAGTCCATTATCGTTACCGCATGCCCTTATTATCCTTAGGGCTTTGGTATACACCTTTCTTTGGCTGCGATTAAGTGTAAAGCCTTGTCAGTGCGAATACGAGTAATTTTTTTGCTTATTTAGAAGAAACTAAGACGGACTGAGCGCGAGGCGGCGCGAAGTGCTAGTCACGCCAAGCGCTTGCCTTAGTTCGCCCGCAAAAGGAAAACATTACACCTGTCAGTGCAGACTAAAGATCTGCTAATGGTCTGACAACCAAATCCAACTCTGGAACCAGATCCCCAGCTTACCTCTCCCCGACTCGTCTCAAATCTAACCGCGGGCGTAGAGACTGGCGACCTGCAGCGCTATTTGACGAGAGCCTGCACGTCGGCCGAGCGAAATTCACAGGAATTCACTTTGGGCGAACTATGAATTGTACTTACCTTGTATCATTCTCAATAGTACGTAACCAAAATACCTTGTGGTTGTTGGCTTCGACCACTCTGCGCTCTGCTTCTTGCCAAGTGCCGTAGGAGATAATAGCGATGATAGACGACTACAAGAAGTCTGTGCATAAGCTCACAGCGTGACCTAGTCCCCGCCGGATGATCTCCAGGGAAGTCCAAGGGCCTTTCATGATAAGCGGCGCAGAGCGAGTTGGGGGCCAAGATTTCGGTTTTCGTCTCATATTAAAATCGATTAACATTCCCCCCGATGGGTCGAGAGAGTGTAGGGAACTGGTTTCTCTTAAAGCTGTTAGGGAGAAGGGAGGGAGGTACGTTTATTGAAGAATTCATGAGACTTGCAGGAAAGGATCAAAGTATAAACAGACGATCACACAACAACCCTTTAAAAACCCACCCCTCAAAACCTTTATTCAATTCACTGCTTATTGTAATAGTTCATGTATATTTAACTGTATTCATAGATGCCGAACGAGTCATTTTTACTTACATATTACATGTAAAAATAAAGTCACATTCCGCCTGAATTAGCCAGAAATATTCACTTTTTTTCCACTGAGGACGTTACGTTAGTTGAACTCCAGCCATGGCCAAAACCATACCTCCTTAACACTGTTTTATGATGGAAGAAAGTTTGTATTTTCAAAATGACATAGTCATGGAAACTCTTCCAGCTATGTGAAAGAATCAGTCAAGCATCGCCACACCAAAGGAGCAGTTTGAAACGCTTTGGCCTCACTTGAGGTCACACCAGTCTGCTTGAGAAATCATCTATTGAATCAATCCGAACAGCGAGTTCCCATTTCAAGATGTAACCAGTAGGTCAATACCACAATTTTCAAATTCTTAGATTTCAAGCTATAATAAATTTGCATATACCTCTCAATAAATTAAGATTCATTATAGTTTCAGGGTTTGCAAGTCTTCAGAGATGCTTGAGGTATATCGTGATGCACTGCTGGATAAGGTCAATAACTAAGGGTCCAAAACTTAGTTTGAAGTATCACTGCTTTTCATTTCGTTGTCTGAAGTCGGTCATGAAGTCCACTAGTGTTTTTATATCGTCAAGTTTTACAGCATTGTACATAGATACCCTTATGCCTCCAACAGACCTGAAATGTCACACAATAGAGGCCTAAATTACCATCTATCTATTTCAGTAGGAATGACAAGTTCCCCCCTCTCACCCCTAGAAGTTTTCATCACCAGTAACTGCTCCCTACCCAGTCCCCATCAAATTATTGGTCCACCAACATACTAAGACTAGTCAGGGGAATTCAGCAACACTAATAGTGTAACAGCAAAAATTTAATATTTTTTACCTCACTAAGGAACCAAAATGATAAATGTCTACAGTAGGGTGTGGGTAATTTAGACTTCATTATTTGCAGATTTGTGGAGATAAATTGGCACCCATGGTTTTCTATAACAACATCTTATACGAAATTCACCAACTTTCTTAAAATACAAGGTACTCTGCATCACTTAGTTAGGTTTGCCCAACAATTTGCTACCAGCCCTTTCCACATATACTCTTATGTGACCTAGTTCTCCTAAGAATACAACACATTCACTTCACATGGCAAAAAGCCATGATCCCTAGGGCACAGGTAGTTTCTCTCATTCAGATTCTAGTGTGGTACTCTTCTGCCAACATTGAAGAAAAAAAACAAAAAAAAAACACATGCACACACACACACACACACAAAGAAGTACTGACATTCATGTGTTTCCTGAAGATAACTAACCTATGTCCCTTGAGCTGGATCATGCCTTTGGCAGCAGCTTCTTCAATAAACTTCTTTTCCAGTTCCTGGTCTCCTCCTGGACCAGCAATTCTGAAAGGAGCATTCATTCTGGAGCGGCTCTTCTTCTCCACCGTACCACTATAATATCACATCAAAAGAATGAGATCTCCTGTTGTGTACTTTGATGTGGCTTATAAATGTTATTTTGCTATTCGGGCTACTTGGGAAACAGAACCAATGCTTAGTCTCTCCTCTACACAACTCAGGGGCAGCCTTTCAGTCTTCTAAAGGGAGCAAGGACCTTTTTTGATGCTGAAGCCTTTGCTTTGATACCCAAAATTTACTTTCTCAAAGGGTCAAAGTACATGGCTGCACTTAACTTGAAAATTTGTTCACTTTTAATTTTCCCTGGCAGTTCTGGCTGATTCTCATCAAAGGTGTTTGTTCACAAAATTCTCTGCTCAGTCATGCTGCTATAAAACATCAATCTCCACCCCAACAATCAAACTATGAATCTGCATTTTAAAACACAAATGAAAAACAGGTGATCTTACCAGTAGAAACCATTTGATGCGTCAATGAGCTCATACACATGATCTGATTTCAATTGATTTATTCTGTTAATTTCTGTGAAAAAATTTTGAAGAAAATGAATACATTATATATATATATATGTGTGTGTGCGTGTTTGATTGTCATGGTACAACATGTAGTATGCAGTTCAACATCGGCCAAAAGAAAAAAAATTCAGAAAAGCAAAAACAAAATCATAAACTGATTATCACCAGAAGCATAGAAAAAAAAACCAGATACATTATTACGTCAAATTTCTGTGTAATTGATGACATAAGTGCAAATTTACCTGACCTAGTCACTTGATATAGTAACACCATTTGTAACAACACGAACTGAATTCCTGTTTTTTCTTCATCTTGGAATAACTATTAATCTGAATATCATTATCTACAGCCTAAGGCAGCTGATGAATAATATTGGTAAATTAAATTTTTGTGTACCTTGAATTCCACCAATCCTCTTAAGCCACTTGAAAACCAGACCCATGATATAAATACTGTATGTTGGAGGTGTGTTGTACAATGAATTCATACCGGCCTGGATCTGCCAAGAAAGAAAATCAACATTACTACTTTCAAATTCTAGTAAAGTGGCAAAATTATAAGTAAAACCCAGACAGTTGGTGGTTTAGGGGTGCCAAAAACACCTACCGGTAGGTAGATATTAAGTTGCCATTAGGAATACTAAATCAATGAAAATATCAATTAGGAGGCTTTGTTTTGGATGCCCAAGTCACAGATTAGCTCTCTAATAAGAGCCTATTAAGTAACTTAATTAATTACCTTGTAATCAAAAACAACTGGGCATTCTCGCCGGGGAGAACCAATCAGGTCTTCTCTCACTGAAATTTAAAATAAAAAAATAAAAATCAATTTTTAACATACACCATCGTTTAATGAAATCACCATTGTCTTTCACAATAAGCTTACCAATAACAACAGTAACTCCTGCACAACCAATATTCTTTTGAGCTCCACCATAGATGAGTCCAAACTAGGGCAAAAAAAAAAAAACCCTTTTATTTAACCCTTTACACTCTAACATCAGTATGAAAATTCTCTGCACTTTTCCCTATACATTTCCTAAAGTAATGACAGGAGAATTTATGCAACAATCAAGAGTTTCTTTGGTCAGTGGTCATTTACTTTATTTTAGTGAGCTTTAAATGTGATTCAGGGATGAAACTGTAAGGAGAAATTAGAATAATTCAAGATATAAAACTAATAATTATGATTTTATTGCTTCTTATTTGACTTTTTTTCTATATGTTCCTAGTGTCCATAAAAAAGTTCTTTGTGTAGCTTACCTTACTGATGTCAACAGGTCTGGACAAGATGTTTGAAGACATGTCACATACAAGTGGTACCCCATTCGTCTCTGGGACAAAGTCAAATTCCACTCCTGCATCAAAACAATTTTACATTTTGGTGAGAAGAGTTCCCAATGAAGATATCTCAAATATTACTACATGTACTGCAACAAATGTCTTTTTTTTATGATTTGATTCAGTGCTATTCATTTTCAATTGCTGGTTTTTGTTTGTTTGTTTGTTTGTTTGTTTTTTTTTGGGGGGGGGGGGGGAGGAGGGAGAAGAGACAAAAAAGGGATGAGGACTTACCATGAATTGTTTCATTGGCACAGTAATAGACATATGAAGCATTTGGATTTAAATTCCATTCTTCCTGAGCGGGAATTCCTACAATGAAACAAAATCATTACATCAGGCATTATACCATTTTTTTTGTTGAAAAAGTGACCCAGAAAGCTAATTTGAAACACAGAGAGACATTTCCAGGTAGAGGTGTCATGTTTACACCTCTCTTTACATCCATAGCAGAATCCTGAATTTTCTTTTCTTTAAAAACTGATTAAACAATACTTGTTTGTCTGAGGGGATTCAAATGACTCAGATAATACTCACTGTCATATTTGTCCAACTTCTTGAAAACCGGGTTTACTTTGAGATATTTTTCTGCCTACAAGAAAAAAAACCAGAGTGACTTTAATACAAAACTTCACGGCCACTTCTCAGAAAAAAAATCACATTTTAAGGCCTACAGTGCACAAATGAATGGCTAGATACAAAGCCATACATAAATTCACAGTAATTTACAAGATTGATTATCCTACTTTGAACAAGACTGTTAATGTTCAGATATGTATATACTTTTTTATCTAGACAACAAACTTACTTCTTTTGCGGCTTTAGCTGACCAAGCCCCAGTAATAATATAATCAGCAGATGCTCCCTCTGCAAAGAAACCAAACATTTCTTTCTGACTAAAATAATACCTCTAATGATTGAAAAAAATTATTTTTTGTCTACAGAATGACTAAGACATTTAATCAAGATAGTGCCTAATCTTGTGTGTAATGTGATAAAACAACATGGTGGCCACAATAATTTCACAACTCACATGTACTACATGTATTTCTCATTTTTTCCCTACTTTAAATCTCTTATTTGACAGTCCTGCAATGATAAGCTACATGATAGCTATTTTACATCATCAAAACTGTCTTTACACTGTACCTTTGGTTAAATTAAGAGGAACTGCAGAAAACTGCCCAGTGCCACCTCCTTGAAGAAAAAGGACCTTGTAGTTGTCTGGTATGTTACTGCAAGTAAATGAGTTTCAACCTTAAAACAATACTGAATATAACTGTAATAAGAACACTCTTGATATTGTTTTTGCATTCTAGAATAATATTAAAACTAACAAGAGATTACCAGGCAACTAAACTTACAGCAGTTCCCTGAGATCACTTTCAGCTTCGTTGACAATTTTAGCAAAGTGAGCAGATCTGTGGCTCATTTCTGTGAGGTGAGATATACAATGTTCAAAGCATTATAAAATGTCTTTGGTTCAAAATTTTGAAAACAACTTATGATGGAAAGATGTGCATAATGACAGCTTTAACAAACACATACCTAAATATTCAAACCTTTAAGAAGTGTGAAAAGAAAAAAATTAAAAATAAAGCTAGTCCAGAAAATGAGTAAACATACCCATCACACTAATTCCAAGGTTGTCATAATTGAGCAATTCCTTCTGAGCTTGACTCAAAACCTAGCAAAAAAAATTTATAGCCAAAAAATTAACTATACATAACCTAGAAAGACCAGAGTGCATACCATGTAAAATTCACATTAAAGACACTCATCACATCAATACACAGTTTGGTTGAATCTGCACATAAGACAAGAGGTCAATAATCTGCCATAGTTCATCTTTGTTTCCAAAGGAGAGCTATCTTCCCCCCCAATGTGAGAATTTCAAACTTCTCCTGATAGTCTGCACCCAGTTTACTCCTAAGCAGAGGGGCATTACCAGAATGAGTTAAGTTTCCTGTTTAAAGAAACATGACATATACACCCCATCTTAATAAACTGAAAATCGTTTTTAATCCATCTAGAATTCAAACCACCCATGCTAGCAATCTAAGGGTGAATCTACAAAGAGTAGCTTGAAAGATTAGGGAAAATAGCTGAGGACTGGTATGTTGCTTGTTATGCAATATGCTCATGTGTAACTTTATTTGTAATATTTTAGAGGTATAGAAGAGCAAGAATATTGTTTTGAATCCATCAATGCTACTTCTAGAATAAACATTATTCTGCTTTTCTGAGTTACTATCAACGATATTTAAGTATTCAAAAAGAACAAGCCCAGCTCATTTTCTTCTTTCTTTTGTGGAACTACATGTATGATCTACAAGTGACAGAAGAAAGCTTTAAAATGTCATAGATAAATGCGATGGAAAACGAGTTGAAGTTCAGGATAATTTCAAGTAATTTCTGTTGGCCATAAATGCAAGTCTAGGTTCAGTATAAATACAAAAGAGCCCTTGTGACATACATTATAGACATGTTGATATCGAATTCAAAGGTTACGAAACACTCTTTGAATGACAGCAAAATGAATATTAAATTGCTGAAGTATTGCATCAGCCAAATTTTCTTCCATATTCCAAAAATGAGTAATTTTTCTTGTAAAAACACTCGACGCTTCCTTGTCATTTAGAGGACATACTTTCTAAAGCAAATGTAATTGATGAAAATTGCACGCTTAGGCCATCCAGTGAATTTATATTTCTTCAATGATTTGCGTGGTCGATTTTTGGGAAGATGGCGCAAACCTAGAACCAATCTGTGCAGAGAAAAGCTCTCACGACCCGTCAATTCCGCCTGCAAGTCGTACATAATAATTGAAGGCAGGCACCGTCTTGAACTAGAAGTGTCTCATAACGTCAACCCAAGGAATCTCCCTTCGATGTTCTGCTCTTCTCCCATATTAGGGAAACGCATTCACCTTGCTCCCCATATTAGGGAAACGCGCCAATTTCGTTCAGTTCGCGGATTTTGAAGTTTGCTCTAACGTCTGCGTTAGCTAAGTACTTTCACTTATGTTTACCATTCATTTCGTTATATTTTGGGCCGATTCATCGTGACTTTCGCCTAGATACAACAAGATTACTAAGGAGATAAAGATCAAGTCGTGGTCAGCGCTAAATTCTTGTTAACAAGACGAAGAAACAGTGATAGTTTTAACTGATCACGATCGCCGTTAAATGTCTGAGCACATCAAAGCTCTCACTTTTACGATGAATTGTATAGAGGGCATTTAAGAACCTTGATTTTACAAGAAATCCATACACAAGGCAAGAAAGGATAGTTATGCAACGCAGTGCGAAGGGACAAAACTAACTTCGCCCGGGTCACAAGTGAATTAAAATAAGAAATTAGAGTGAAGTTGAAGATCGTTACACTTACTTCTTCGGGTAGTTTAGCAGGACCGGCAGAAAAGTTCAGAACTCGCTTATCTGTGGAAGCCATTGAAAGATTTTTACTCGATCGGAGCGTTTTAATTAAGAGGGCCTGGGGGTTCTGGTTCTTCAAGTGTATCTTCAGAAAGAGCGATTTTGAAATTTAAAATTATATGTTGTATGTGAAATTACAATCCAGCCTCGTTTTCACAGCTGTCACATCTGATCGCCATTGAGGTCGCTGATTGGTCAATATTCACATGCACGTGCAAAAAGCATGGAGGTCCACAGAGCAAAGGGAAAATACGCCTCACAGTATTCTCGCGAGAGTCATGCGTTAACAAATGCACGCAAGAATAATGAAATTGTTGAGAATGCGATCATTAGAACGAGGTTGCCTTCGATTTACTTAAAAAATCTCTGCATGATCTGCCTTGCTGCAAAATCGAAACGCCACTGTCTTTCATTTCTTTTCGATGTTGCCAGGGAATTTAGAGATCGAAGTGAAATATTTTCCCATTCGCAAAATTAGACAACATTACGTAAGTGTGAGAGGATAGGCAAGGGGCGGGAGGATGGCGGGGAAGTGTTTTTAAAGAAGGGGGGTGGGACCATTCTCGATCCCAGAGCCTCACGACTCTCTGACAAATTTGACCCAAAAAAAGTCACGATTATTTAGTCCCAAATTTCTGCTGGCAAACATAAATGAATTAACTAATTGCAGAAATTTAAGAGAAGAACACGCAAAAAGCGACAGGATATCAAAATTAGAGGGAAACAGTGAAAGGAACAGTGGCCGTGGGACCTTACTGAGCTGGGAGCTGTTATTTGTGGAAGTTCAGGTAAAAGGCGTCAAACGAAATGTTTGCTTCTAAAAGTAAATAATTTCTTTGTTAATGGAGATATTCTTGTTTTTAGTCGTCAGGTCTTTCCACCGTTTTGTTAGGGGCCAGCTCGTGTAGCTAAAGGCCTCATACTTTCCCGCAGAGGAAGAAACGCTCGTGACCAAATGCTAATAATTTGGGCCTGCTCGTGACCTCCTTCGCAGCTGTTGTTTGATCTCGTCATGCAACGTGGGGGAGAGAATGTGTTGAGTAACCTCAGGCAATGTAAGCTCCGGCTGTGAGATGATCATCTTGCGTAACAACAGTCACGGCGAAAATACAAGAGTTTGTGTGGGAATATTTGCGACTGCCCTTAGGAATAAAAAAATACGGCCAAATTCTCAATAAAATTCCTCATCTTTCTTTCACAGTGCGTTGCTTGTTTTGTGATCGCCTACTTTGTTGCAACGAGGCCATATTAGCGAGTTATTTTTAGGTGTATTATTCCTAGGAGGAGTAATTAACCTAGAAATTGACAACTCGCTAAATTGGCTTCTTTTCAACATAGTAAGCGGCCAGACAGCAAGCGATGCACAATGGAAGTAAGGTGAGATATTTTTAATGAGAATTTGACTGTATTGTTACTTCCTAAGAGCGGTCGTATATATTCCCGTACAAACTCTTCTATTTTCGCCATTACTCTTATTTCGCAAAATGATCATCTCACAGCTGGAGCTTGGGCTGCCTGTGGCGTGACGAGACCAAACAACGGCTGTGGAACGTGGAGGAGACTACAGTAAATGTGGCACCACAGCATTTACTTTTCTTTAATACTGCCACCAGACACCAGCGACAATAGACTACAAACACCTGTGTCTGATTCTATTCAAGATAAATTGGAAGGTTTTCTTTTTTGTATTTTTTGTTTTTCTTTCCCATTAAATGATAATTTCGTTGGAATCTTTAGCTCTGTTTCTTTTACAAAAATGCAGACATCACCGAGTTACTTCCTCGGTGTCCCATCTCAACACACCCATCTAAAAATTATAACTCCCGCATGCGTAGTATGCCCATGTTTTTATAACATTGTCAACACAATTGTCTGGATGTTGTTTTGTCACAATGTAGAACCTTTGAGAAGGACAGCGCGCATTAATCACCCTGCTTGAATCATTGTTTGGACTTCAGAAAACTGCGCTCCGTAGTTTTGTTTAACACTTCTGAAAGTCAGATTTAAGTCAAAATCTTCTGTTGCACAATACTTCAAGAACATATCAACACTTAAAAAAAATATTTACCGGGCAAAAGAATGGTCCGGAAGCGGAAAAACTCCACTCTAGTCACAACTTCAGTTTTCGAGTGAACAACGATTCCCAAACGGGACACGAATTATTTAAGGCTAGACACTGAACACATAAGTTGCGTCTCGAATCACAGCGCGCAATAACCACCCCGCATGCCCATTGCTTTCCAAATCCAGTATCATTCCGTACATTTACCTTTCATTTTGGTCTCCCTAAACTCCATCTTATTTATTCATCGAAATGTGGTAAGAACAAAAAAGTGGCACATGAGGCGCAGCTGAGTGACTCATTGATGTTCTTACCACAATTTGACGTTTTCTGGGACCTATTACAGTACAGACCCGTGTTAACGTGGGAAATATTTGTTTTATACGACAAAAAGGCATAATGATGTTAATGCTGACATTTATGCGTCTGTCCTTCAATAGATCATAATTTGAAAAGAACCAATCAGAATGCTTGTATCATTCAACTTGTTTTAAAAGAACCGATTAGAATGTTTGTATCATTCAATTTATCATATAAATTGGGATAGAACGGAAAAACCATCTCGTAAATCTCAAAAATCGTGGCTAAGCTGGACAGGAACTTTGCTGTCAATCGCGGAGAAAAATTAAATCTACAGGCATTTGTTTGCTTACGTCATAAGCGTGAACAACAAGATTCATTGTAGCCGCGCTTTTGTTCAGGAATAGATCTGCAAGCGCAGCCAGGACAGAAAATGTTGTTGTTCATCGTGATTTGTCTGGATAAATGGACGTGGCCGAAAGTTTACGTCTCGCCTTTAATTTTCAACACCTTAGTTCATTAATAAAAGTTGCGCCCCGTCTTTAGTGGATTTTGATCCTCATTATTAGAGCGCGTTTTATACCAAAATCAATGTAAACATAACAGCCAATCAGAGCAAATGAAAAGATGAGAAGACGCTTATTTGGACTCAAAGTAAACCCAAGCAAACAGCCTAAAGCGCAGGAAAACGTTAAATAGATCCAAAGCAGTCTTGAATTATGCCATCGACACTGAATTGAAAATTGCTCTATTCCGACTGCTTTGTTAGCGGTCAGCCGTTGTGCCGTTTTATTAGTAGGCATTTCATGCTTCGGAAGTTTTGGTTTCATTGTCTCTGTCAATGTTATCAGGATGAAGTCTTTTTTGGATGGTTTCTTTAACCCTACGTGTGTACTAGTGAGGCTCATGGTCAATAAACCTAACCTGGTTCCAAACAGGAACATGTCCTGTTTCATTGATGTGTTTAGTTCTGAGTGCGAGCAAGTCATATATGTCTCTTTCATTTTCTTTAAATTCTCTCGAACACTGCTCTTCATGTTACTCCGATGTACGCTTTACCATATTCACAATGGATCTCATAAAAAACGCCTTCCCTTGTCGTTAACTCGATGGATCTTTTAATTGCACCAAGTGTGACCTGAGGGTCGTGTCTGATTCGAAGACGGAGCACACGCCTTGTTGTTGTTGGCAGTGGATACTAGTAGGTTTGACTTTTAGCATGTTCTGCGACTCTTACCTTCAATGTTTATTTCTGAGGATTATACTTATACTAAAACTACTATTTTTTTTTCGTTAAAAACGGGCAAAAAAATGGGAATACAGGCGGGATTGTACATCAAGAAAACGCAGCTACAACGAAACGTTCTACCACGAAATGCATTAAAAGTTGAGTTTTCTTTAATGTACCTACCTTCGGGATATCTTCGGATATCGTAACACGTTCTCCCTATATCACCGTGGAACGAAAAAAAGGTTTGCACACATACACTTTCTAAATCTTGGTCATTGTTTTAAAACTGAATCATGGTTAGTTTATCGAACAAACATTAAGTTTGAATATGAAAGCGATCTTCGCAGCAATTAACATTACAGAGTAGTGAAAATAAGGACTGAAAAAAGTTCTGGCCTGTCGCGATTTGAACCCATTACCGCTGACCAGTTCCCGAAAAAGACATTACACTACTGCACAAGGCATAACCGAAATTGACAAAAAGAGGTTTGAGGTTATTCGTTTGCAAATGTGTACTAATACCCGTAAAGTAAATTTGGAAGTCTCAACCCTTTTTGCATTCAAACTTAGTGCCCTGCATCAATATAGCAACATGTACCTAATGGTTTAAAGGTCTAGTGCTCATTAAATAGGTCGTCGAAAGGGGCTGTGATATTGTACGGAGTGTACTAGCAAGTATGATCAGATAGTATCTGAGGAAAGTCGACAATCTGAGCGATTATACATCTTTGTTTTGTTTCATGAGACCATCCCTGCTTATTAAACAAAACTCAAATTTACAATTGAAATCACTCAAGTACAAAACTTTACTAAAACAATCGGGTTAACTTCCAGTAAATTGTTTGTGAGTTTGAAATCTATTTCAGGAGAAAACCATCGAAGCATTTAAAACCAGTTGAAAAGAAGTTAAAAATAAAATAGATAACTCAGATGTATACACCGGGAGAATGATTAAAAACTAAACTCCAAGCCTTTTTAATTGTCGACACTTATATGAATCAGGCTTTAAAAGATGAAGTAGTTCTGGAATATACCGCGTGTCTAATTGGGTTAAGTTATTTCCCGCCAAAGTAAAGTAACGTTGCCGGTGGATTCATGTCAGAGAATAAAACACTTGCTATAACTGGTTCTGTTTTGTTTTCAAATTAGCCTACTACCCGCTCTCCGCAGCGTCTTCCAAAAACAGTTATGCATAAATCATAAGCAGTATCAAAAGACAGTCAGAGAATTTTAATGAGCTAAAGCTCAGGCTAACAAAAAGAACAACTTATGATCTTTTGAATCGTAAATGTTGACTTACATCAGTTGAGCTTTCGCATATTTTTCCCTGTCAAACATCGCACGAATTTTAAGTCAGGAACTGAATTTGCCATGGAGCTGACTTCGGTCACGAGAAGCGAGAGGGTTGTTGAAAGAATTCTTTACACGTATGATGTGGCCATTATTGCATGATAGGAGATTAACGCCTCAGTGAAAAATAACTGGAGGAACAGAGGAATTTTGAACGCC